AAGCAACTTTGAATAGATTGGTCCCATTATTTCCAGTTCCTTTTCGTTCCTAGTACCTTTTCGTTTTTTGGGAGCGTAGCCAGATTTGTTTTGAACACCCTAGTCTTCGAACTTTCCGGACTTTTCTGTTCCTTCATTTTCCAGTTTTATGCTGATGATTAATCTCATCCGCTCCTGTTTTCAGAAGAATAAAGAAAAGAAAGCAAAGATCTTCAAAAGAGCCGAGAAATACGTGGCTGAGTACCGCCAAGCTCAAAGGGATCAGCTCCGTCTGAAGCGTGAGGCTGAGAAGAACGGCGATTTCTACGTTCCTGATGAGCCAAAGCTTGCATTCGTAGTTCGAATTCGTGGTATCAACCAGATTCATCCTCGCCCACGCAAGGTAAGAGAGTTTTCGTACTGATCACATTCTGTTCATTCTATTTTCTCCATTATTCTTCACTTGACATTCTTTCTAGGCAAACTTTTTCTGCGTGTTTTCATTTTTTGGTTTGTTCATGATTGTTCTTCTTCCTATGATGACATTATCCTGGCTCAACTTCTTCAACGCACGGTCACTCTTGAAATGACCATTTAATGATCATTTCATTTATTGTCGTGCAAAAATGAAGTTAGCTACCGTAACCGTGATTGACACAATGTTGTCTTTCATGTTTTGTAGCCCAACAACAGTTTTTTTTCCAAAACATTGCCGGACTCACTTGCAAAGATTTCAGGCTCTTCAAATCCTTCGCCTGCGACAGATCAATAATGGAGTGTTTGTAAAGTTGAACAAAGCTACACTGCCACTTCTTCGTATTGTCGAACCATACGTCGCATGGGGATACCCCAATCTGAAGACTGTACATGATTTGATATACAAACGTGGATTTGCCAAGGTTGACAAGCGACGAGTCCCTATCACTGATAACAGCATCATCGAGGAGGCTCTCGGTATGTAGTTTACTCATACATGTGATACTTTTGTTACCGTTGTTACCTTTGTAAAATGTCGATCTGGGCCATTCAGTTCAATTTTACAGATAACTCTTCTCCAGAAAAGCAAATTTCTTAGATATGCAGCATTCACTAAGCTCTGTTCATACACAGCACCGTTGGAAAGTTGGGGAGTCCACGAAAAAGACTGGATACGTTCCGATCGCTGGAGAATCGGGAAATCAGAAAGCGAGAAATCTGCGGAATCGGGGGATTCTAGAGAAGGGTCAGATGCGATTCGATTTAGTTGGTTTATTCCAAGTGAAGAACTAGCGAAAATGACTTGAATATAGTCTTTTCCGTGGATTCCACGGTTCCTCAGTTTCCCAATATCTGTCCCAACCCTCGTGTTCTCCACATCGGAAGATGTGCAGTCCTTTTTGCGGATTCGCTGATTTTCCTGTTTTGCGATAGCTATGAAAATGGTTTTGATTTCGAGAGTTACTGCCTGTGATAACTCGGTTACGAAGTCCTGTTTTGTAGGCAAGCACGACATTATCTGTATGGAGGATCTGGTTCACGAAATCTACAACGTTGGGCCTAACTTCAAGGCGGCATCCAACTTCTTGTGGCCATTCAAGCTCAACAACCCCACTGGTGGATGGACGAAAAAGACGAATCATTTCGTCGAGGGAGGTGACTTCGGTAACCGTGAAGACCAGATCAACAAGTTACTGCGGAAAATGATCTAAGAAGTGTTTATTGTTATTGTTTTCTTTGGGTAACCAAAGACGATAAAATGTTATTGTTTTTGATGTTGCTTTTCATATAAAAATTGTACAGAAATGATACTAAACACAGATGTTCTAAAACGAGCCGTTTTTGTTCGACTTCTCAAGAACTTGGCCTAAACCGGTCTTGGCGCAGGTGTAGCAGAGGTCCACAGTCTAGTAAGTTGCATATTGGGAGATGTTCCAGTGCAAGCGAAATGAGCTTCTGCACCGAAAATTGGCTGACGCATTCGTGAAAAGTGCTCTCGGAGCTGCAAGAGTCGATTTCACGCATATCCGTTAGAATCTCACACCCCTTTGGGTCGGTTGATTAGTATTCATTGGAAATTGGCGACTCAGGAAGATATTTTCGGAGCTATCAGTCTATTCAGGATACATTACACTTGCATTTTGCACAACTAGTGCAGTGTACGTTGGAGATCCTCAGCGAGGGGAGGGGGGGAAGGACCAGTATTTGGTCGCTGGGGTCAGAGAGGGTCGTATTTGGCTCTGTGAAAAATGGTTCCGTCGTAGACTCTTCTCATTTTTTCCCGCTTCCTGTGAGCTATAATACCCCCAACGCTCGTCTCCCGCCGGCACATCGTTGTTGGGAGATCCCCAACAGGGGGTCGTATTTGGCTCCCAGGAGAGGGGCGAGTCGTATTTGAGCTGAGGAAAGTTTAGATTTTCCTCGAGTAGATTTTTCTCGCTTCACGGACGTTGTAAAGAGGAGGGGGAGTCGTACTTGCTCATTGTTGGGAGGGGGGGGGGGTCGTATTTACTTTCTGGCCTTTCTAGGAGTGGTGGTTGACTTTTCGTGATGTTCCTGTAATATAGAGGGGTGAAAATTTGTGAAAATTTTCTTGACGGCAGTACTTGCCCTGGTTCCAAACACCAAGTAAATACATACATGGAACGAAAAATTCTTCGGATGTTGTTCCTCTTCAATTTCATTTCTGTGCATACGACAGCGCAGAACATTAACAACCTATGATGAGGACATGAGACAGAAGATGTTATAACCTAGCTAATGTTGTAACCATTGCAGGGTAGGGTTGAAGAATCCTCAAAGGAGAGGTGGGGGAAGTTGTGGGGGGAGGGTCATGATTGGCTT